GGTGCCAGACTCCGAGGTGCCCCACAGGCTGTCTTTAAAAGCGACACAGAGGAAAACCACAGCACTGACTGCAGTGTCAGCTGAGAGACCTGTTGTCGAATAAAAAAGCAAGTACCACTCACGGCAGCTCAGGGAAGCTCACTGTTTTGAATGGTTGGTACATCTGGTGAGTTCATTACAAGCTCGGCCTAAGAGGTGCTTCAGCCCTCAGTGTAATGGAAATGTTGCCATTGTCTTTTGTTCAGAATCTCTGAACTTCTCTAAGATCTGCACAGGCACCACCTGAACTGACTCTAACCTCTAGGCTGGCATTAGAGGTGCAGCTGTGCAGGGATCACAGGGACTCGTAAGTGCTTTGTGATGGGGCGAACCCACGGTTTGGGATCTTAACCGCTGAACTAGAAGGAACATTTTCCAAAACAATGGGCTTCAAAATAAAAGGAGGTTTGGTCTACTTTTTACATGCGGATGAGTATCAGAGGTCTTGCTGTATGTTTAGTCAAAGAAATTGCTGCCTTGAAGAGACAGAAATGGAATAGAAAGAAATTAATCTAATTCAAGAAGTGCTATGAACAATGAAAGAAATCAAGCAATTATCCGTAGCAGGAGACAGAGCGTTGAATTGTTAAACACGCTCCCTCTTTTTCTTATGAAAGAAAAGGAGCCGAGGGGCAGGATTAATAGGAGTGATGCTTGCGTTTGCCCAACAGTTTTTAACACGCACTTTCAACCTGCTCTGCAAAGAAATATAATTAACTCTGCTGTACAGAGAAGGAGAGACACGGATTTCTAAAATGACTTGCTCAGCATCGATAGAGCCTGTCCAGGATACTCGCTTTAAAACGTCTGTCTATCCCTGGACTCCTTGCTATTCAGCTTCCAAAGGACACATTTGAGAATTGAAACTAAAACATAGGATTCTACTGCATATACTTTAGAGACTTGACATGATCAAAGAGAACCTTCTAAATTAATTTGCAGGTCTCATCACTTTTTTCAAAGCGGAAGGAAAAACCCCAGCCAAAAAAAGTTTCCTGCTTTCAACATAAATTGAGAAGAAAAGATTTCCAAAAGTCGGTAACATTTTGCTATCATCAATACCACCACAAGGGAAAGATGTAGAAAGCACTGACCCGTGTATTTTGTGTAACATTTATTAAACTGAAAAACAGCAAGACTCTGCCACTGACCATTCAGAGCCCCAGGGTCAGCGGGGCCCGAGAGGGAGGGCGGCTGCCTTGGTCACAGGCTTTTTTGGGGAGCAGCAGGGCTGGGTTGGGATTAAGATAGGCAGTTTCAATTGGAGGGGTGCTTGAAAGGCCTGCTGAGCTGAAAACATGTCCTCAGCTGGCTGCACATGGTCTCTGAACTTTTATCCAAAAGTACAATCATGCTTTCGGTCAAGGCATGCTCCCCAGAACAGCTAACAAAACAGACATGCTTTCAAGAGGTAGAAACATGGCAGATGCTTTGAGTTCAGCGAGAGCCTGAATCAAGTGTCCACCTGTGTACAAAGGCAGGAAACAGGTTGGAGACAGTCCAGATATTCAGGGAAGTGAGGATGAGCCCCGGAAATAAAAGGAGAGGTAACAGCAAAGACCCCCAAAACCCGTACATCTTCCTAGTGCTGGTCCCTCAGTGGTAACAAACAATGCTAAGTGGGGTCCAGGATGCGCTCTCCTCTGTCCCTGCAGCACCTACCATCTCTCAC